GGTTTGGCAAAGGACACAGATGAATAGAAAGATGAAAATAAAGGGGGAAGGGACACAGTTTCCAGGTCCTCTCTGAGCACCACTATCCAGGAGCATCCATGTGCCCAAATATCTAATAGCTTTCTGAACTCCTCCCTTTGGGGCTTCCATGGAACTCTCCTCCCAAATATGATCTTCAGCACCTGTGGTCGTTGGTAATCAAGTCAAACATCATCCCCTCTGCCCTCCCCAGAGATAGGAGGTTGGGACTAAAGGCCCAGCAAGGTTGGTTCACCTGGCAACTAATCCCCATCTGAGAATAACCAAAAAGTCATGAAGAACCCCCTCATCAGAACAGAAGATGTCCCTGTCACTCAGGAAATTACAAAAGATTTAGGAGTTCTGTGTCAGGAACCAGGGTCAGGGACTAAATACCAAGATAGAAGATTCTCTTAGTACCTTAACTTCAAGGATTTTGAGGAGCTCTGTATCAGGAACTGGAGACAAAATCCAAATATTTCTTACATCATAGAAACATAAAGTAACAGCAACTATAAACAGTATGGCAAGACAGAAACAAGAAAGACAGCAAAACATGCAAAGCAATAGCAAAATGACCAATGTAAATCCAAGCATGTCAGTAAGACTCATATGGCATGAGTACTCTTTCCATTTTAGAAATGAGAAAACCAAAGAAAAGAGAGATGGGAAGTCGAAGGACTCAACATGCCCAGCGAATGATAGAACGAGAAAATGAAATAGCTAAAAACATGAGAATTGAACACTCATAACAGTGAGTTCACTCCATAACAGTGAGCTAAATCAATCTCCTTTCTTCCTAAGTTACTTACCCTCCAATGTAATAAAGGGTCGTCTGTGAAACTATGAGAGAGAGAGAAAGAGAGAGAGAGAATCTACCCTAATATCTTTAAATGTTCTCTGAGTCAGCCAATATATGACCCCCATCAGGAAGGTGGCAATATTCTTTTTCTCTGTCCTGTGGTTCAGAAATATTTTAAGTGTGTCCACCAATGGTTCTTATGTTGAAAGCTTTGTGTTTGTGTGATGACACTGCAAGCTGGTGGTATATTTAAGTGATGGATCTTTTTTTTTTAAACTTTTTAGTGAGCTTTGGTCAGATCCCCTCCTGCATACATGCCCCCCCCAACAGACCTCCTATATTCCATCATACATGTTAAGTCCTATCCAGTCAAGCATTTGTACCCAGATGTCTTTCAGTGCAAATTCATCCACTGGAGTCTAGTCGGCCTATCTGGAGATCATTGGTAAGGCCTACTCTCTCTCACCCAGTAGTGATCAGTCTCTAATAATTCCCAGATTAGGACTGACCTGCCACCCATTTCCCTCGCTCCACTCTGGGCCCTTGTCTGATTGAGTTGACCCAGGTCCTGTTCTTGATACCACCATTGCCACAAGTTCACATATGCAAGCTTCCACTGGCCTAAAAGTCTCTGCTGCCCTATGTTCATGGACGAATCCTGGCTCTTCCAAAATGGTCCCTGAGCCATGGGTAGAGGTTTGATATAGGAGTCCTCTCCAGGGACACACACTCTGCAGTCTCTTATTCTTCAAAGTTGGGACAGTTGTGGCCTTCTGTGTGCATGCATGCACTCTGCTGTGCAAAGAAGCTTTATCGGTGAGAGTTGAGGGACACATTAGTTTTGTCTCTACCCCTTGTTCGGCTATGTTCCATGAGCCTTGGATATAGAGGTTCAGCTGTAGATCTGTCACCTAGTATTGAGCATCTCTCAGACGTATGTTCTCTGTCTGAGCAGTTGCTCAGTTCTGCAGTAGCCTTCATCTGTTTCAAAAACATTACCATTGAAATCTACCCAATGACTTTATAGACATACACAGGTGCCAAGGATCCGAGTGCAACCGATTATGACTAGTAATAATCAGATACATACAGATTATAGATGTATGTGCCAACATCTCAGTGTTATGAGCAAAAGCAATGAGTCTTTCTGTAAGAAACAGTTTATTTTAAAATGCAATGGAAATCTTTTTTAAAGGTTAAAAACTCATTCAATTTTATGTCTTATACTGAGTTCAATATTGTATAACTGTATTAATTCAACAGCGAACCTAAAATTTTTGTAGGCACTTTTGAAAGAGATGT